TAATCGTGATAGTGAAGTAAACGAAACAACATTATTTAATCGTGATAATGAAGTAAAAGAAACAACATCATTTAAGCGCGAAGAAGTAAAAGAAACTTTATTTAATCGTGATAATGAAGTAAAAGAAACAACATTTAATCGCGATAATGAGATAAAAGAAACATCACATAATAAAGTAAAAGAAACATCATTATTTGTTGATATAGTCGATAATCAGCTGGAATTACCTGGTATTAAAAAAGGAGAGACAAATGATCTTGCCATAATTAACCAACCAAAACAAGTGGAGAACTCACTTCCAATCATGACACCACCACCTGTTGAAAATTTTGTGCCTAGTCGAAAAGCAATATCCTCTCATGGAGGGTTGAGAAGGTATATTAATGAGCCAGTTCATAATCCAGTTCCTCATCGTCATCGTTATGAAGATCAAGATAGCTACGAGTCCTATGATTATATTCCATCAAGATTATCAAGTTCGTATAATAGTTTGGATCTGCCGTCACCAAGACAACATGACTTGCATCCTCATCGAGCCTACACGGATCCTTCTAAACGCGGACCATCAGTAGCGGACATGAGGGATCGATTCATGTCGATGAGCGACGAACGACGATCAGTAAGTAATAAAAAAAATGAGTGCCACAAAGCAAGAACTGTAATTCTTCATTTTCGGAATTTCATGTGAGGTATAAATATTACTATCATTCGGACACATTTTCAAGGGTCGATAAACATACTCCGATTGCTACTCAGCATCATATGAATTTTATTATGAATTTTGATTATATTAAATTATATGTATTGGCAAATAATTTAAACTCCGTATGTAAATGACCTTTGTGGTTATGCTAGGTTCGCCCGTACTCTGTGAAGTGTTAAAAGAATTATGGTTTTTCGCTTTGCGGCATCAAATCATGTATAATTAATTGCCTTACATATTCTGAGTTTAATAAAATATTATTTACTTCAGATGTCTCCCACTATTCGAGATTGTCCGACACCGAGGCATGGACGCGTAAGTGACCTGACATCAAGATTTGGAGGCGAGAGAAGAAATCCGAAACGTTACGGTGCAACAAATAATCCGAGAATAACGCATGTCGATGATTATAGATATGATGGAGATCGTGGTTATCGTTCCCGAATTGGTTATATGGATAATAGGGTATGCACAATAATTAAATTTGAATAACAAAATTAAATGAAAATATAAATATTTTTTGGTAATTTGTTAAATTTCCATTTTACATAGTACTATGATCAGTCTCATGGTGATGCTATACTATCCGATATACCACGTAATCATCATTGTAACTGTTACGATTGCCAACAAGCAGCGTTAGAAAATTCGGATAATAGAATTCAACATCATAGTCACTATAACGATCCAAGTTATATATAAGAAAGGAAATTAGTAAACGTTAGACGTTGTGCATAATATTCACATTTTGTATTTATTTCAAATGTATTTGAATGTTATTGAATTTATATCATGATCATCACTAATTGCATTTTTAGTTACTGTTACTATTCAATGTATTTTTATTATATTTATCATTATGTTATATGTAAATTTATGATTTTACATTTATGCATTTTATTGTTTTAAATTTTTTGTATGAATATTTGTATCAGTTTGAGTTGTGTTTTATATCAAATATTAAAGAATCCAATTTTGTTTATACAAGATCTTGTAATTTTAGTGATTCCG